GAGTAATGTGAGCATATGAGCATGAGAAATTAGGGTGAAATCAAGCTATGTTCATTTTATAAAAAATAAAAATAAAAAATAAAATAAAACACTTCGGTGGTGATTGGAAGGTTACGACTGAGCGCTCAAATGGACACAAGGGATTTAAATATAGTCCAAGTATTCTAAGCAAGTACAAGCAGCGCCTTTAAAAAAAAAAAATAAAATAAAATAAAATAAATAAAAATACAGGTAACTACGGTCGTTTTCCTCTGGTTCCTCACTTGCTGAGATTGGGGCGATGCTTCCCCCATAAATATATTATTAAGCAACATTTCCTGCTAAGTTTCTTATTTCATTCTCATTGCTTATTTCATTCTCAACGCTATGTTGGTAAATATGCTATTGTCAAATATTGCTCGTTGTTTAAGGCTAGTTGTTCAGTAACATGTTGGTTTGCTAGGCACGCCGTAGCTTAGGCTTATTGGTTGTACTTTGACACACTGGTAACATTAACGTTACCGTTTAAACTTACCACAGCTGAGACTTGTTTTTAAATCTGTTTAAGACTGTCTGATATGAAGCAGGCTTGCTGCTTAAGGCTCATCTAGTATTGAGGATGCTGTTTCATTAAACACATCCTGTGTATGATTATTTCCATCAAGCTGTGTGTAAGTCTGTGATATGCTGTTGCTGAAAGCTATACTGTGTATCGGTAATGTGCTTGATACTTAACTTGTAGTATGTAGATTTTGCTACTAAAGGTGTTATTAATGCTAACGATTATCTGGATTGGGCAACATGCTGTTGCCTAAAACTTCGGGTATTGACCATATGCTGTACTGCATTAAAGGGGCATGCTGCTCTTCTCAGCTGCTTTTTAAAGAAGAGCACCCCTTCACTGCTTCTCTTCTTAAAGGGCATGCTGCCTCAGTCTATGCTATTTCAGAAGGTCTTTTGCTTTTAAAGCTATTAGGGTATTGGGATTTTGCTTGCTTGTTAGGGCTTATCTAGTGTTCAGTATCATGTTTGT